GTGTGTGTGTGTGCCCGTGTGTGTGTGTGTGTGCCCGTGTGTGTGTGTGTGTGCCCGTGTGTGTGTGTGTGTGTGTCCGTGTGTGTGTGTGTGTGGGGAGCGATAGTGTAGTGGTTAGCGCGCTGCGCTATGAACCTGGCGACCCGGGTTCGATTCCCGCTCACGGCCAACACCAGTGACGATTATCTGAACCGGTCCCGGGCCTCCCCTAGGTCGACTCAGCCTCAAATGAGTACCTGGTGCGGTGTGTAAACATTGCCACTAGGGAGACAAAGGGGGTCGGGCGTGGTGCTGGCCACCCACCCCCTCGTGTACCGTTCCGGCCTTCATAGGTGCTCGCTAACAGCACTTGCCCCTACAGTCTGTTACAGGCTATATGGGGGATCTTTTTATCTTTGTGTGTGTGTGTCCGTGTGTGTGTGTCCGTGTGTGTGTGTCCGTGTGTGTGTGCCCGTGTGTGTGTGTGTGCCCGTGTGTGTGCCTGTGTGTGTGTGTGTCCGTGTGTGTTTCCGTGTGCCCGTGTGTGTGTGTGTGCCCGTGTGTGTGTGTGCCCGTGTGTGTGTCTGGCTACACGGGCGATTTTGCGTGCGACCGAGGCCGAATTTCTGTCCCCTCGATGTGCGGGTGCCCCCCCCCCCCCCACCCCACGTGTTCCTTTGTATCGTCCAGCGGTAGAATAAAACGCGAGCTGGCACCCTCTTTAAAGTTACAAGTTGACCCCGAGGCTCAATTATTACCTGGGCCGACTGATACCAGTCAAGGTTGGTGCTGTCTGTGTCGTTGGGTTGTTGGGTCACCGCCATGGCCTGAATCGCAGTGGCATCGTCGCCACGGACAGCGCCAGTATCGATGCAATAGACGCTCTGGCGATGCTATGACTGCACCATAGACTCAGCACTGCACCATAGACTCAACACTGCCTATAGACTCAACACTGCACCATAGACTCAACACTGCCTATAGACTCAACACTGCACCATAGACTCAACACTGCACCATAGACTCAACACGACCCATAGACTCAGCACTGCACCATAGACTCAGCACTGCCCCATGGACTCAACACTGCCCCATGGACTCAACACTGCCCATAGACTCAGCACTGCACCATAGACTCAACACTGCCCATAGACTCAACACTGCCCATAGACTCAACAACACCCATAGACTCAACAACACCCATAAACTCAACAACACCCATAGACTCAACACTACCCATAGACTCAACACTGCACCATAGACTCAACAACACCCATAGACTCAGCACTGCCCATAGACTCAACACTGCACCATAGACTCAACAACACCCATAAACTCAACACTGCCCATAGACTCAACACTGCACCATAGACTCAACACTGCACCAGAGACTCAACACTGCACCATAGACTCAACACTGCACCATAGACTCAACATTGCACCATAGACTCAACAATACCCGTAGACTCAGCACTGCCCATAGACTCAACACTGCCCATAGACTCAACACTGCACCATAGACTCAGCACTGCCCATAGACTCAACACTGCACCATAGACTCAACACTGCCCATAGACTCAACACTGCCCATGGACTCAACACTGCCCATAGACTCAACACTGCCCATAGACTCAGCACTGCCCATAGACTCAACACTGCCCATAGACTCAACACTGCCCATAGACTCAGCACTGCCCATAGACTCAACACTGCACCATAGACTCAGCACTGCCCATAGACTCAGCACTGCCCATAGACTGAACACTGCCCATAGACTCAACACTGCACCATAGACTCAACACTGCCCATAGACTCAACACTGCACCATAGACTCAACACTGCACCATAGACTCAACACTGCACCATAGACTCAACACTGCACCATAGACTCAACACTGCCCGTCGACTCAACACTGCCCATAGACTCAGCACTGCACCATAGACTCAACACTGCACCATAGACTCAGCACTGCCCATAGACTCAGCACTGCCCATATACTCAACACTGCAATATAGACTGAACACTGCCCGTAGACTCAACAATACCCGTAGACTGAACACTGCCCGTAGACTCAGCACTGCACCATAGACTCAACAATACCCATAGACTCAACAATACCCATAGACTCAACACTGCCCATAGACTCAACACTACCCATAGACTCAACACTGCACCATAGACTCAACACTGCCCATAGACTCAGCACTGTCCATAGACTCAACACTGTACAGACTAAAAACTGCACCATAGACTCAACACTGCACAGACTCAACACTGCACCATAGACTCAACACTACACAGACTCAACACCACCCATAGACTCAACACTCCACCATAGACTCAACACTGCCCATAGACTCAGCACTGCCCATAGATTCAACACTGCCCATAGACTCAACACTGCACCATAGACTCAACACTGCCCATAGACTCAACACTGCACCATAGACTCAAC